TAGGGCTATAGAGGAGCCAAAGCTCAGATAGATGCATCAACTGCACTGTATTTATTAGCAGGAAAGGTGGTGTCATCTGCCACCCCCATCAGAATTATCTGTTCCCCCTTAGGGGCAACTCTTAGTAGCTGCATAAGGCAGTTAACTTTAGCAACAATATATTGTCACCTGTTGCATGCAAAGTATTTTGTGGTGGCTTGGTCTTGAATGGACAATTCATTGGCTTGGAAAAGACCTGTTCCTGACAGAGGTAAAGGTGCTAAGATGGGTATGTTGATCTGGATCACACAGTTCCTTGAATTTTTGAACTCTTTGTGATGTGTTACGGAAACTGCCCTGATGAGAGCACTGCTCTGCTTACTGTGAGTGCAACAGCATCCTTCCGCTCATCTTCCACAGCAAGTGGGATACACTAGCTATAGTGCTTCTCATACTGGAAATGGTATATAGCTATGACAACAGGCAGTCACTGATAGCTTTACCTTCCATGTCAAATGCCCTCTTAAAACCACCCATATTGGTGGTTGTCAGTTCAACTTCTGGTTGTGAACTATATATTATTTGTAACCTGCTCAGAGAGCCATGTGGCTAATACGATACAATATCCTTTTTGGCAGTGCAAGCACCAGCCCTGAACGCAGTATTTCAAATGAGGTTGTTGCTTTGCTCTGCCATTTTCAAACTGATCCTCCTCTACCTTTTCCCTCCATCCCTGTCTTGTGTGTCATTTGTATTTTAAGGGCCAAGTAACACCATATAGTCTTCACACTCACCACTGTTTTCTTGTATTTTTCCCCCGTTTTGGAGTGGAGAAAACTGTTGGACCTGAGCCAAAATGTACTTTGTGCTTCTCATTACAAACAGCACCTTCAGGACAAAAAAATAGCTCCTCTCTGCAGCTGCTTTTTCTTCTAAATAAAGTGACTAGCTTAAGCTGTTGTTTTGAAAAAATAAGTTAAAGGGTGGATTATGTGATAAGTGTGGTTTGGCCTGAGAGAAAAGATTGTGCTTCATTGAACCACCTTGAGAGATCCTCCTTGCCTGAAAAGTTGGATAAAGATGTTGTTGTTGTTGATGATGATGATAACCAATAATAGCCTCCCCTCAGTTCAGGTTCTGTCTAGCTGATATTATCTGCTCCAACGGCAATGCTGAAGTTAGGTCCATATACCATTCATATGCTGTAGCAGGTTTTTGTTAGTGGAATAAAGGAAGGCACCATCTTCTCCTTCCACCTCAGGCAGCAAAATATTTTGACCCAGTCCTCCTTGGTAGATCTATGAAAGGGCCAGGGTGCATCTGTTTTGAATCCTATTCTCAGACAGCTAATTGTCTTGAAACCAGAATAGCTGTGTAAATATGACCTAAAGACACTTTGAGATGAAACCTGATCACATTGCTTTACTGTAGCAATAGTGCTATCATTTGGCTAGGGATGGGCAGCTTTTTAGATGCATGGGCACGTTCAGAAATATGTCCTGGGCTTCATCACAAAATTGTAACAACCACTGTCCCCTATTAGTAAGTCCTGCTGGATCAGAGCAAAGGTCTATTAAGTCCAGTGACTTGTTTCCCAGAGAGACCAGTCTGATAACCCACGAACAGGACAGGAGGATAGTAAAGCGGACTAGAGTAAGTAAACCTCTCTCTAAGCTGCTGCTTCCCAACATCTTGTATTCTGAGACAAAGAGCCTCTGAACCTGGAAGTTCCGTATTGTTATCATAGTTAATAGCTCTTGATAGACCAAAACCTCTGTGGATTTATCTCACTCTGTTTAAGGCCATCTGAGCTGGTACTGATCTCTATTATCTGGTGACAGGTGATCCCATAAATTAAGTACGCAGGGAACAAAGGCCTTAATAATTTGCAGCTAAACGAAGCTGCCCAACATTATCACAGCCCTTCTGATAAAAATTAGACCTCTTTTGAAAAGTTGGATATCCTATGAAAAGTGCTATCCTATGCGTGTCTACTGAGAAGTAAGCTGCAATGAATTCAGTCGGGTTTTCTCACAGCTATATGCATACAAAAGTGCAGCTTGAATTTATTTGTTTCCTAGTCTATCTCACCCTTTCTGTTAAAAGTGGATGATTTACAGCCTGATCCTATAGGATAAGTATATACCCAAAGGCAAGTACTCAGGATTTATTCCCAAGAAAGTATAAGCAGAACTGTAGCTGGGTTAAATTCACAACAACCCTGAAAGGCAGGTAAGACTAGCCACACAGCAAACTTTGCAAGTGACTGGGGATCTGAATGTGTATCCTTCAATTCCAGAATTGTAGAATTCTGCCTTATTATTGTCCTTCTTCTGAAGAGTTCTGGGTGTATACAAGGGTAATGTTTACTCCACTTTGACCTGACCAGGGCTGCTGTGAAGTGTAGGCACGGTCGAGCGTCTGCTGAAGGCCCACACACCAGCAGGGGCCCAATGGCAAGAAGCCTGCAGTCCCAGGTTTGCTCCTCTTCTTTGCCATTGCAGCTCCCTTGCTCACACACTTGTTCACTGGTTCTGTTTGGCTGGCAAGCAAGCAAGCAAGCAGCATCAATTAGGAAGGAAAGGATGAGGAGCAACAGCAGCTGGTTGCAAAGGTGATGAGGAATCTGCAGGTCTCAGGAATCAGGACCCAACATTGATCCTGACAACAACCCTGTGAGGTTGGTTAGAGTGACTACTAGTCCAGTGTTACTCTGTATATTTCAGGGTGTCTGAATAGGGCTTTGTACTCTAATCTCTCAAGCCAAAACCCATTAACCAATTACTATATTGACTATTAATTCACAAGAAAGGGAAAATTACTTCCAAACCTTACCAGCATACAATCTAATTCAGTTACCCGTTAGGCACCACCTCTCATTTTAAGCTCTGTGGTTTTTACGTCACTGCGCTGAGAGGAAAAAGGGGGAAAGGGGAAGTATTTTTGCTTGACATGGCAAACAGAAGAGAAGCTTTTTCACAATCTGGGGGTTTACATGGGAAATAAACCTATTGCACCGCACTGCGGCAAGCTTTACAGAAATCCATGCACATCAACAAAGCCCCACAGGCCAAATCCATGCAGTGGGCTAGGACGGCTGTGCCCCCCCAGCCCTGCCCGCTGCTTGGCAAGCTAGTCTGTATCTTTCTCTATGCAGAGTTGCCATCCATGTTTGCGGTAGGCAACCTGGTGTCCCCTGCATTCTGGACGAGAACTCCCGTGAACCACAGTCAGCATGCCCACTGATCAGGGAAATTGGGAACTGTTATCCAAAACATGCTCTGGGGGTAGGCACCAGGTTGCCTGTCCTTAGGCCATTTCCCAGAGAAAGTGAGACAGAGATGGTGTGTGTGTGTGTGTGTGTGTGTGTGTGTGTGTGACAGATACAAAAGGCTGGAGTTCATTGTTTTCTTCTAGCTCTTCTCACTGCTTGCTTTCTTGTAGGGAGTAGATGAACAGGCAATGATGTGATACTATGATCACTTTTCAGTGGTAATAGTCCACTGATGCTGGCTTTGAATGTAGTTTGAAAATAAAGCAGATACCATGGTGCTAAAATATATTTATTGATACTTGTAACTTGCTCTTCAAGTGAAGAAGCTATCAAAATAGCTTACATACAGTGGGTAAAACAAGAGAGACTCTGTCCACAGGTTTACTCATAATCTTAGATGACAGGGCACACAAGGAAAAAAGGAGGTGGAAAGTGTGGGGTAGGGGATGTTCTAGAAAAGTTAACCAATGTTATCAGGGGATTGGAACACCTTCCTCTATAAGTAAAGGTTACAAAACCTTTTTACTTAAACAATATTTTAAAATTTATCAACTTTCATCCTTCAGTCACTCTGTTTGCTTCGTGATTTATTGTTTTGTTCTGTTTCTATTATCTATTAGAGATTGTTCTTTTAATTGTTCTTTTAAATATTGTAAGCCGTCCCGAGATTTTGTGTAATAGGATGGCATACAAAAGCTTTTGATACATAAATAAATAATAAATAAATTTGGGGGCTGCTGAGCTTAGGACAACTAAGGAGGGACAAGATAGAAGTTTATAAAATGATGCACGGCATCAAAACATTTGCTTCCCTTTCTCGTAAGACTCAGAATTCAGGGGCAGTTCCATGATATCAGTGGATGGGGTGGTCAACTCAGGAAAGACAAAGTAAAGTGCCTCTTGCAAAGTATAGCACTCGTAAATAGATTTTGCTTGTCCAAGATGTGGCAACAGTCAGGAAGCAGCATAGCCAATGGTGAGCGATAATGGGAGTTGTAGATGGCTTGATCTAGTCTTTGTTTGACTTTGTGTGCACTCTGTACTTATTCCCTTTTTTAACGAGTTACTTCATAACACAGTCTTACCAATTGCACCGGCAGAGACTTGTAAGTCTCTGTTTACAAGCATCCCGTGCAGAGCAGAAAGAGTGCTGGAGACAAGCTTCACCTCTCCAAGTTTGCTGTTCCTCAACTTCTCTAGAGTGACATTTTTGATCACCTACCTGTGATTTTTTTTGGGGGGAGGGGAGCTCTCAGGATACATTGTATCTTAATAACTGCAGACTTCTCCCCTCCCTGCCCCTCAAACGTCCCCTTTATCCCCTTTTTGAGGTCATTTCCTAAACTCAGAGAAGCAGCTGCACCTTTTTGGCTGGCTAGGAAATTGTACCTTTACCTCGGCGAGTGTGTGTGTGTGTGTGTGTGTGGAGGGTTGTGCTTGTTCTGTTGATTAGAAAACTTTTTGACAACTTAATGACATGGATCTTCATAAACATATTTACACCCGAGCCTGGAAGCGCCACTACGTCCTGCTTTCCAGCGAGACCGGAGAACTCCTACGCATGCGCATTTGGACGGCGGCTTCTTTGACACTTTAAGGATGGCGCCAGCGGCTCGCCAGAGGGACGGGATACGCGTGCGTGTTGTGGCTCACGGTTAACGGAAGGGAAAATGTTTGGTTCCTCGCCGCTTCCTGGATAGCGGTGACCAATGGGGAGACGGTTGGCATGGTGACAAGGCACTGGAGAACGAGACTCCTCCCCCTAAGCGTGTTGGCGGGAGAGTAGTCAGGGAAGCGAGGGGGTGAGGTGAGACGTGTTGCGGGGATGGAATTCACTGGGGGTGGGGAATACCTTGAAGTTGGGGGTGCTTGTACATGTGCGGAATGGGGAGGGGACAGGTCAAGTGGTGCACTTGGTGGGGGGAATGGGTGAGAATTCGGGGGGCTCTGGGGGTATTGCATGTCGGGAACAGTTAAGAGGCACATGGGGTATGTGAAGGGCTCTCAAGTTGAGGAGATGGGGGGGGGTTCCTGGAGAGGGGTCAGTAGCAGGGGTGTGCTGAGTACCGAAGGACCCCGTACGAAGGCTCCCAGTACAGAAAATGTATACAAATTTGCACATGCTAATTTACATATATTGTAAGGTCTGTATGCGGGTCTGAAAGAACCCCGGCTTCTAATGGCATCCCTCCTTGTAAAACACGATGTGTGGATATTTGATTTCAGTGAAAAACTTAAGGCAGAAAGAGTCAAGCAGGGAGTCGGGGGGGGGGGGGGGGGGGGGGGAGGAGGGCAGGAAGAGATGAAGCCCAAGTAGATAAAATGCCACATAATGCAGTGGGATCAGGGGGATACATAGATCAAGGTCCCCACACTGTTAACAGAGTAAGTGCCCATGGACAGCAGGGGCTGTTGGCTTTTCAGGGATTAGGGGTCAGCAGAGTCCCTTTGGAGAACTGCTCATTACAGCCTTTTACAGCTTGGTGCCCTCGAGATGCGTTAGACTACTGCCCAGTTTACTGCATTAAATTCAGGTAGAGGAGAGTGGGTTTTATTGTGGGGCTGGATAGGTAAGGGCCAATGAGGTGGTGGGTTGTGATTGGAACTTCAGCAGTTTTATAGGCAAAGTTGCAGGAACAGAGGCCTTATTGTTCCTGAGGCCTCCTGTGGAAGGGGTTGTTTGATGGTGCTGTTCACTTGGGTGTATCTGTTTAAGATTTATCATTCTTTATCAAGTCAGTATTGATCCAGCATAGTCTAAGTGAGCTATTAATAGCTCAAGTCTATGTGTGTTTAGATGAAACTCTTAACTCTAAAACTCCCAACCAACCATGCTGTAAGCTGTAAGGCTTTTCATTTCTTTCTAAACATGCACCTTAAATGAAATAAAACTATGGAACCAATGGTGGCCACTTCTTGTGATAACCAAAAAGACAATCCCCATGGCCTGACTTGGAAGTTCATAGACCATACGGCAGCCTAAACTAAAACTTCTAGAAGTTTCATCAACCTCAGCTAACATGGCCAGTGTCAGAGATTATGGGAGTTGTACTCTAAAATATCTAGAAGACAGCAGGTTGGGGTTGTGATTTTGTGTCAGCTCAGCTTGTAAATTTGCCCAGGGTAAATCACAGGTGAATGAAGATGCTGACCTTGATAGGCAGTTGGTCTGATTCAGCATGGCCACTTTGATACGGCTCCTTAAAGATGATTAAGACAAATGTATATAGTAGAGCTATGGAGAGTTTACCAGTCATTTGTCTTCGTGTGTATATGTGTGTATATTTGAAACACCCGACCAAGGCTGCCATTTCTGAGGACTGCTTAATCCTTTCTGTTGCTCCTGTTTGCTTGCTCAAAATTACTCTCTTTAAGCTGTTTTTCTTACCATGGCAGGCAGGAGGGAAAATTAATGGATTTTAATAACAGAACTAGTGGAGCTACTGATTCTATGGCGCTAACATTGGACTTGCTAGGAACAAACGATGTGGATAGCAGCTGCAGCAAAGGGGGCTTTGGGATGCTGGTGGTTTGGGTTGATGTGTCTCCGGATTCTCCTCTGAGAACAGGACCAGGAACTGTGGAGGCTTTTGGGGAAGAACTTGACTTAGATGAGAGAGATGGGGTTGGTAATTGACATGCGACATTCTTTGTTCTCCTAGGAATGTCAAGATGGAAAACAAGCGGAAGGCTTCGGTGGGAGGCTCCGACATGGGGGAACCTACTTTGTCTCAACGGAAAAGGTCACGAGGAGGGGACTGGGAGGATGATGGCCCTTCACAGTTTGAAGAGGAGCTGGCTTACCTGGATGAAGTGGAGGCTGAGGCACTGGAGATGAAAGAAGCGCAGCTATCGCACGATGCTATCCCATTTAGTGAGTGAGAGAGGCACCAAATAGGAAAGGGACTCTGTAGGAGGGTAACATGGCGGGGGGACTCAGGAGTGGAGTAAGACAGTGTTTGGTACACATTGCCCAAAACATTCTTATTTTTTGAGACTTTTTATATGAGGAGTGGGCAACTTGTAGCTCTCCAGATATTTTGGCCTTCAACTTATCAGCCCTAGTCAGTGATGGGAGCTGTAGGTGAAAGCACCTGGAGTGCCACATGTTGCTTACCCATGTTTCATATATTTGTTTGTGTAGCATACAAGTGAAATACATGATTTTTAACAAAATCTATGTCCATTTCTTCAGAATACATGTTCAATATTTATGGTGGGTTTTATTATATCAATTTCCATTGTGTTCCTGTGTAACAGTGAAATATATTGGGCACATCATCTATCATAATACACTTCCAGTACTGGCTTGACGTTTTGTCTCTCTTTCTGATGCCACCTCTGTCTTCTTCCTGCTATTTCTCAGCAAGTATGTTGGACCTAGGGGGTTGGAGTCAAGATCTTTAATCTTTAGTTATAGCTCAATGCTATATTCAGTTCTGAACAGTTGGCTTTGAAAACAGGTTTCTATATTCTCAGTCTTGCTTTGGTCTAATCATTACATGGTCAAGGCTAAGATCTCAGCCCTTTCTTTTTGCCCCTGCACAGATGATGGACCTATTAGAATGATCTGCTCCAGAAGACTACTGGATCCAATAGGCTTCCAGTCAGCCCTAGGGGGTTCTTTGACCATTTCCGTCAGTAGTCCTGCCAAGTCCCTGCTCATAAAATGGAATCACAAGCTGACTAGGATCTTAGACATGATTGCTCCTGTGCATCACCTCTGTCCTGCTTCCAAAATTGCTCCTTGATAAATAGAGGAACTCCACAGTATGAAGTGGGGAGGATGACATTTGCAGTGCTGATGACAGAAATCTAGACTGTCTCTGACAAAAGATATTATATGGGTGGCAATACAAGCAGGGAAAGAGAATTTCTTCTCTGCTTGTATCACATCTGCAAATTCATGTCCAGCAGACCTGTTTAGGGTGCTAAGGGACTTGTCCCAAGCCCCAATGCCTTCCTTATCTTTTGTTCCATCAATTGCTCACTGTGATGGTTTCAACAACCATTTAGCAGATAAAATTTCTTGGATAAGAGCTGAGCTTGATAAGATTTTGAGGGTGGAGATTGACACAGAAGTATCCAGCAACACTGTGAATGGGGTTAACTTGGATCAGTTTCAGTGTGTAAATCCTGCCAGACTGCTTGGACTGGTAAGAAAAACCATCTGCCATCTCAATCTTTGTCCATCTTGGCTGCTAGTCCACAGGGTGGAGGCATTGAGGGGAGCTATTATGTTTTATAGAGGATAGTCTTCCTGCCTGCCTGAAGGAGGCTATTGTATGCCCGCTTCTCAGGAACCCTTATTTGGAACCCCTGCACCTTAACAACTATCAGCCTCAAAGGTGCAATTTCTTTGTAAGAGAAGGTGGTATCCCTCCAACTCCAGGCAGTCCTGAGTGATACTGACTTTTTGGACTCATTTCAAACTGGCTGTATAATAGGATATGGATGCCTTTGGTCACTCTAGTGGATGATCTGTGACTCAGATTGACAGGGTGTCCCTGTCAGTTTTGTTGGATCTCTCAGTGGCCTTTGATAGTATCAGCCATAGTATGCTTCTGGGTTGTCTGAGGCAGTTGGGAATTGGGCGCATTGCCCTGCAGTTGTTCCAATACTACCTTTTAGGTTGCTTCCAGATGGTGATGATGCTTGGGGACTGTCATTCCTCCAAGAAGGAGGCCCACAGAGCTCCATTTTTGTCTCCAATGCTGTTTAACATCTACATGATGCCCCTGGGAGATATCCAGAGGAGTGGCTCTGGATGTTAGCAATATGTTGATGACGCCCAGCTCTATTTCTCCTTACCACCATTAGCTGCTGCTTTTAGAGACGGCATCTCTCCTCTGAATGACTGTCCGAAACTGGTAATGGGGTGGATGAAGAAAAACAAATCAAAGTTGAGTACAGACAAAATGGATGTCTGGGGTTCAAATCCAGGATTAGAGGTGTGTCAACCAGTTCTAGATGGGGTCACACTCCTGAAAGACCGTGTTCTCAGTTTGGGGGCTCTGCTTGACCCAGCTCTTCAGAGGCCAGCACAGAAAGAAGCTGTGGTCAAGAGTGTCTGTTATCAGCTTTGGCTCATTTGCCAACTGCATCCCTTACTGGAGGAGAATGACCGGAAAACAGTAGTGCATGTGCTGGTAACTTTGAAGCTCATTTTCTGCAATACACTCTATATAGGGCCAACCTTGTGCCTACTCCAGAAACTACAACTAGCACAAAATACGGCAACCAGGTTGGTCTCTGGGACGTCATGGAGAGACTATATACCACTGACATTAAAGTCTCTGCACTGGCTGCCAATACATTTCCAGACATAGTACAAGGTGTTGGTAATTACCTTTTAAAGCCCTTCATGGCTTGAGTCCAAAATACTTTCAGGAATGTCTTCCCCATATATTCTGCCTTGCCCACTAAGGTCCTCTGGGGATAATCTTCTGTAGTTTGCTTCTGCAAGATTAATGTCAACTATGCAGAGGACTTTTTCAGTGGTTGCTCCTAAACTATGGAATGGCTTGCTAGGAGAGATGCATCAGAGATCCCAGATTTATTTGTTTGTTTATTTATTTATAGTATTTTTTTACCCCTTCCTTAACAAACATCCCAGGACGGCTTACAACATAAATAAGATTCCTACCTTCAAGAGGGAATTAGACATCTCTCTTCCAAGAGGCCTTCCCAGATTAGTTTTATGTAATATGCTAGTTTTTATTTTAAATTTGAATCATTGTTGGTCTTAAGCATTTGTAAACTGCTCAGAAATGGGGTGGCGTATTTAAAAATAAATAAATAAATAAATAAATAAATAAATGTAATTATGCGGGATCTGAGATTACTTGGCTAAGATTTTGGTCCCTACTCTCCCTGCAGGTAATCTCTTTCCTTCAGTGAGGAATTCCAAGTGGCAGAGGCCACTGCCTGCCAAAATAGACCCCAAAGAAGAGTCCCTCTGTTTCCAGCAAGTGGAACTGGATTATTATGTGGGTGAGTACGAAAGCTGGCTGAAATGCTGATGGAAAGGCCTTGAAGGTGTTGTGGGATGGATGAGCTGGAAATCTCTGGTTCTTTTCCTCTTCCTGGGATGGGGTTTGCAGAACTAAGTACTTCTTTTGTTGGACTAAACAGTAACTCCCTACTCCTAGAGGGGAAGTCTGGTGCTATTGTAGTTCCTGGGGCTTTTGCTAGCAACAATAGCCCCACAGTGTTCTTAGCCCTTGCTTGGCAGGGAGAACGAATGGGGTTTGGAATTCCCCAAAGAGGTTGTAGTCCTATTTTTCTGATTGCTGAGAAGGTGCTTGTAGGAGGGTGTCTTGGAAAATCTTCATGTAAAACCTTAACAATGTTGACTTTCATTTTGGGCAGAAAAAGCAAGTTTCTAGCCTGCATGCTTGGAGAATAAGAAAGTATAGAAAATAAAGTGGGGTGTTATTAAGGATTAAAAGCTGTAGACTTGTCCTGTAAGAAGTTAGAGTAGCTGTCCCCAGCCTGGCACCTCCCAGGTATGCTGGTCTACTGCTCTAGCTTTGGCGAAGCAGGACTAACACAACCCTTCAACTCATATTTGTAGTTTTATCCACTACACTAGCTAAGTTGCTTGTGTGCGTGGTGGCTATTTTTGTGAGAGAGATATTGTACTTTATTTATTTATTGTATCTATGCCCTGCCTTTTGTCCTGCAAAGAACCCAAGGTGAGTTAAATAATCTTCCTACTTCTCCTCTTCATTTTATAGATTAGGCTGTGAGTCTGTGATTAGCTCAAAGTCACCCAGTGAGCTTCATGGCCAAGTGGGGACCAGAATTGAAATCTTCCAATTCAACACCCTAAACCATTATGCTACACTGCCTCTCATTACTGATCATAAGTGATGTCCAAAGGCTGATGCAGCTTCTTTTTTCTGTTTGAGGCAGGTTCTCACATCCCTGGATTTCCAGGATCCACCCAGGGTCCAGTTCCTGTGTTGCGTATGTTTGGCGTCACTCTAGCTGGCAATAGTATTTGCTGCCACATCCATGGTTTTGCCCCTTATTTCTATGTGCCTGCACCTGCCGGTGAGTGTGCAGATACAGTTGGGGAGTGGGGAAAAGGCTGCTGGAACTAGCTGGCAATTTAATTCCTTTCCTGCTCCCTCTCCCTGCTAATCTTTCTTCCAGGGTTCCAAGCAGAGCACCTGGCTGACTTTCAGAGGGAACTGAATTCAGCTGTCATCCGGGATATGAGATCCAACAAGGATGGTCTAAACCAAGTGGTTCTTGCAGTGGAGCTTTGCAACAAGCAAAGTGAGCTCATGTGAAGTGTGTGTGTAGGTTTCCTGACTTGGCAGGGTGTTGGATTGGGCCCAGATCTGGGGTGCTGGCTTTGCCATAATATCACAGCAACCCTACCCTTATGGCACTCTAGACGGTATTGCCATTGAGTGCTCAAGCTATCTTGCTGCTTTGACTGTAGTTCACTAATGCTGTTATAAGGTTTAGTTGGGTTGAATTGCTAAGACTGTGTTGCACATGTATTAGCTGTCCAAAAGTTCTAAGAGTGCCAAAACCAAGGTCTATTCCAGCTTTGTCACTCCTCAGAATAGGCTTTTAATGACTACTTTCCTGGTCGCCTGTAACAAGTAAGAATGGCTTCCAAACAGGGAAACTTCACAAAAATTTTGTGCACACATTTGTGCATGCATGAGCATGTGTTTTCCCCAGCACCCTTCCCTGTGGAGTAGCAACTTTTATGAATTTACTGTTTGGAGGGCTTTTGATCACAACTGGATGTGCCATGTTGGGAGAAAGGAAGATGACGCAGATATGGAAGCTGCTGAAGTTGGGGGTGGAGAGAAGAGGATCTGATTTTGAGGTCAGGGGATCCACAGTCTCCCAGGGAAGCTGAATTCTCTGTCTTAAGACTGTTTTTCTTCTCCTTAGGTATGTATGGCTACCATGGGCAACATCTCATTCCATTCCTGAAAATTACTATGGCAATGCCTCGACTAATTGCCCCAGCCAAAAGGTTGCTAGAACAGGGGTTGCGGTGTGGAAATTTGGGAGTGCACCACTATCAAGCCTATGAGTCCAATATTGATTTTGAAATCAGGTAGGACCCATAATCAGGACAGCTTGCTTCCCTCTTTAGGAAATAGGTAATCACCTTGCTCTGTTTCACCAACCATGGCTATATATCTTGGCACAGTGAGGTTCTTAGAGCTCATGGCTTCTCAGAGATGCATGATTTCAGAAAAGGCTGAGAAACTGAAGTGTTTCTCCATATTGCTTGTGGAGATGCTGTTATTTGCCGATAAAAATGAGTGGAGAGGATCTTGTAGCATGTTTTATCCAAGGAAAGTGGGGTCCAGGCACACCTGGATGGATTCTGAGTATGCTGAAAATCGGTTCATCTCTGAACCCTTAATGGTTGGTTTACCTTAGTTCAACCCTTCCCCTTTTTGTCATATAACTTGTTCTATGGCAGGTTTCCCCCACTATAAGTCTTAGCATTCCCTATTACTGAATATTCACTGTCTGGGGGGTGGGGGTGGGGTGAGATTTGTAGTCGAAAGTACTGGGAAGGCTAGGCTTGGGAAGGCTGATCTCTAGTCTTATTTGTGCACTGCACAGAGAGCTTTTGCCCAAAAGGTTACAGAGGAACACCTAAATAAAATTAAATTGTGGCTGAGAGAAGAGATGTGCATTTTCAAGTCTTTCTGCACAGCTGCTATAAAATTCAAGTTTTCTCTCCCAATGTAGGTTTATGGTGGATCGGGATGTTGTTGGCTGCAACTGGATTGAATTGCCTGCTGGAAAATATCACCTGAGGCAGGAACAGCCTGTTGGAGAATCCAGCAAGGAGAATCCACCCAAGGTGCTTTGGGGAACAGGTTACTGAAGTATAGAGTAGAGCTTCTGGGGAAATGTCCTCTTATTATAAGTCAGCCTTCCTCAGCCAGTTGCTGCCTGGGTGTGTTGGCCTTCCATCTAGCTTAGCCCACCTGCCCATCATCTCCTGCTCCGCGTGACTGGAGATGATGAAGGGCATCCGGCTAGGGAAGGCTGGTGAAGGTGTCAGACTTGCCTTTGCTCAGTACTTGACTTAGAGGTAACCTTTAGTGTTTGGAGTGAGATTTCAAGCCATGCTTGTGGCATTTAATGTTTTTCTAGTGGATAAGTGGGATTTCTCATCTACAATATTGGATATGGATCTTGTCTTTATTGAGTGATGGAGTTTCAGATTAGATAATGTCATTAATTAGAGATGTGAAGGCCCTGGAGGAGGAGGGGGGGGGAACAGTTTCTCCCTATTTCTTTTTCCAAGGGCTGTTTTAAACAGCTTTCAGTTATAAAATACTTTCTTTTAGAAGTTAAGATGAGGTGTTCCTATACTGTTACTCTAAGACCTTACTTAACTCCCACCAAAAAATGGTCTCTAAAAGCTATGTAATAAGAACGCTACTCTAGAAAGACTAGAGATGTAAAATATCTGGAAGTAATAAAGCCATGGAGAAAATGTCTCTTTTATTCCTCTTTGTAAGATTCCCAGCATAGTTATTTCTTCTATTCCTTATTAAAATATATGTTTAATGTATTTCTCACTGATAGACATTTGGGGGTGCTCCATGTTATGCTCAGTTTCCTAACCTGTGAGTGCAGTTACCATCTCATAATATGGAAGTGTACTTTCATGACAGCTTGAGTTTATTCTGATGTACAATTCTTTTCCTCTCCATTTTATCCTCACAATAACCTTGTGAGGAAGGTTAGACTGAGGGGCAGTGACTGGCCAAAAGTCAGCCACTGAGCTTCATGGCCAAACGGGGCTAGAACCCGGATCTCCCAGGTCCCAGTGCAGTACTAACTGCAGTACCACACTAGCTCTCAAACATGCCAACAAAATATTGCTTTTTGTCACATGGCTTCAACAGTTCTGGAAATCTTAAATCTTTATTCTTTGCTATTTTGAGGGTCATTTTCAGTGGAAGGGCACAAAATAATTGAACCCTCCTGGATTTTTAGTTAGGATTTTATAGCCTGAATGTCATGCTTAAAATTGGAACTCTAGGACAGATCCTTTAAGCAACACAGCCAACTTGTTAATCAGATCTATGTGATGGATCTGGCCCCCTGAAAAAGATAGAATAAAAATATTTTGTGTATGTAGCCGAGAGAGAGAATTAGGTTTAGACTGAAGCCTTTTATTTTCAATTATGACATTTTTATCCTTCCCTGACTTCCGAGGAATTCAAGATGGAATACGCAGTTCTCCCCACAACTCTTTTATTTTCAACAGTTGTGTGAGGCAGATTAGACTAAGAGTTTTCGTCTGGCCCAGAACTGCCCCGCAGGCTTTGTAGCTGAGTGGGGGTTGTACCTGGGTCTTCCCAGTCCATAACTGCAATCCCTGACAGTACCCATGCCGCCTGCAAAAGTAGCTGTGGGTGGGGGGATAGGAGTGAGTTGGTGTAACCTAACCAGAGTTTGATGTGCAGGGGACATATCAGGTGAGATGCCTAAAGGAGACATTTCTCAAAGATACAAGCACTGTGTGTAGGCTTAGGTTGGTATGGCAGAAGGGAATTTCCGGGGATAAAGGTTTATAGCCAAAGACTGTAATAACATGTCTTGTTGTTAATTCTGTCTCCTCTCCCCCCACCCCCCGCCCATAGACGTCTCTCTGTCAGCTGGAGGCTGATGTGGCCTGGATGGATTTTATTAGCCACCCGCCCGAGGGAGAGTGGCAGCGCATCGCCCCCTTACGTGTGCTCAGTTTTGATATTGAATGTGCCGGACGCAAAGGTATCAGGGGAAGTTGAGTGAGCAAAGTATGCTGTGGTGAGATGAATTTAAGTTCTGGAGGTGGGAGGATAGTTATTCAGAGCCCTGCTGGGTAACTCCAGAAGTTTTACACTGACAGATGTTTATAACCCAGAAGTGCTGTCAGTGTGAACAGGCCTGTGTAGTGAGATCTACAATTAGCACTGAAGTAGCTCTTTTTAAAGTTAGTCCTAAGGAAGCAGGGACATTTGCCAGCCCACCCACACACGGAGGCTTTTGGCTTGTGCAAGCTGCCTGGTGCAGTAGGCCTGACGGGGTAACCAGTATTGTTTTTGTATTGTATTGCCCCTGGTGCAGTAGGGGCAGGTGACTAACTACAAGGTGGCCTTAGCTGGATGAAGCAAGCAAATCCTTTGGGTCAATGCAGCAGCTGTGTGAGGGTGAGGAGCCTCAGCCCTGAGGCCCAACTCCAGCTGTCCTGGAGTCCTAACCCACCCCCAGAGCCCCTCAGATGGATACACCTCCTTCCTTTGCCCCCTCCTCTTTGCTTCCCAACCACTGATTCTTCAATAGCCTTTTTGCCTTCTTGGCTTTTCCAGCACATTCTCAAAGGTTGACCTTCTTAGGCTTAGGTACTGGCAATAATGCCTTTAAACTACAACATGCTGGTATTTCAGCCGCTCTGCCTTTGCCTTCAGCCCTGTCCACTGCTGGAATGCAGCCCTCAAGACCTTCTGTGAAATAGAATCAGGCTGAAAGGAGTTCCCCATCTCAGTTAATACTGAAAGACTATATTCTTAGATTATATAATTAACAATTATTCATTATATTGACAAGGACAGGGTGTCTGAGGCTTGGAACTGGCTAAAGACATCCTGACCCTTACAATGGGACACAGTGTGGGTTAAGAGCTTGTGACGTGAGCCTTCATGTGTGTTGGCCACAAATGAAGGAGTTAAACCAAGAGAGTGGATTCATAGTAGTCCCTGAAGGGTAAGAAATTCCAGCTGTTCTGTTAATAAGCTCCTTCTGTGTTTCCACTCAGGCATTTTTCCTGAACCAGAGAAGGACCCAGTCATCCAGATTGCCAACATGGTCCTACGCCAGGGGGAGAAGGACCCTTTTGTACGCAATGTCTTCACCTTGCAGAGCTGTGCCCCGATTGTTGGTTCTCAGGTGCTCTGCTTCCAAAAGGAGGCTGATCTGCTCAAGGTATTGGAGGCAGTGTCTAGGTTACAAGATTTGAGGTGGGCCTAGAGCACTGATCTGACTGTAAGGGAAGCAAGGACTGGTGGTAGGATATAGGAATATAGTGGAATGTTGGCTGAATACCCAATCTGGGTAGCAAAGGAGGGGAGAATGTCATGCATTTATACTTGAATATGTGAAAATGGATTCAAGGACTATCCTGCTCCTCTTTATATGCCAGGCTGTCAGAAAACCATGTTGGTGTTTCAGCCCTAAAAATATAGAGATGGATAGAATATTTGACTGGGGGAGGGAAGAGGCTCTTGGAATACTATAATCTTGTTGTTTTGGTCTTTGATTTTTGTTTATTTTTTTCTTCTTAAAGTGATGGATCTGAAAGTGATGTTTAAAAAACACTTAAAATTCACTTTGGACTATTTCAAGCTATTTCACTGTCCAGTAATGTGGAAGAAGGCTTCTTGTGGAGGAAGGCTTTGAATGGCTCACCAGGTGGACTTGTGGCTACTCTGCCCACTTCCTCTCCTTTCCTTTTAATTTGGCTTGTTCTGGAAAGAGCTTGCAAGCCCCTGAGGGGACCAGAACTGAGCAGATCTGGGAACTGGACAAAGGAGGCACATAAGGCCAGCGGCTATATGGATGCAAGGGCCCTTTTTTGTGAGGCAGGCACTTGTGGTCATCGTACGTGGTTACCAAGAATTATTCTTGCCCTCAAGTGCCTGGGAAAACCTCTTTGGTAAAGACTCTGGTGACAGGATCTGATGACTCACACATGCTCTGTTGTTCAAAATTCACTCCCATTTTCCTCACATGGTTAGGCAGGGTGGCTATTGATTTTGGGGAACTTGTAGAAAGTATTTTTAAAGGTTTCCTTTATTTAGACCAGCAGAAATCCATTTAGGGGAGGAGAAGGAAGTGAAGCACAGATCTTAGGAAAGTTTTATTTATGCATCTTCTGAATTCGGGTGATAAGGCTTGGAAAGGCCTCTGCCTTTGATCTTGGAGAGCCAAGTCAGACAGTACTGGGCTATGTGAACCTGCCTATAATGTCATGAGCCTGTCACTTTTCAACTTTCTTCCAGGCCTGGGCTGAATTCATGCGAGCTGTTGACCCTGATATCATCACGGGCTATAACATCCAGAACTTTGACCTTCCCTATCTCATCACACGTGCACAAACTCTCAAAGTAAGCCCCACTTTCCTCCCTCCATCCCAGGCAGGAGTTGTGTTGCTGGTCATACAGTAAATAAAAACTGGACCTTCATCTTCCTTCTGAACACAGAAAATGCAACTCTTCTAGTGTAAGCATAAACACTGCTTTGTGCTATTGCTTCTAGGAAGGAGTGTGGAGTTGTTGTCAGTGGAAAACTAGCCATTACCTATAAAAACACTTGGAAAGGCTATCCTTCTTGTTAAGTCTTGGCATACACAGAGATCTGTGATTTGTTTTAATTACTACATTTATATATCACTGTTTAACAAAGCTTCCAGGGTGATTTACACCCAATTAAAAATAGATGTTTCTAGAACCTGAGGAAGGAGTGGCTAAAGATTAAGGAAATGGGAGATTAGCAGACGAAAAAGAATTGCCAATAGTGTCCATTGTGACTCTACAGGAATCTTGAAGAGCTAACCAAGTTTCTTTAAGCTTAGGATGCTTAATTCCTTCTGCAGGTTCCTGTAATCCTCAGGTCACAGTCTTCATTCTTTCATTGCTCCTTCCTAGCTTCTAGAGACACACATGCATGCTTTTACTTTTTGTATTGTATTTGCTTTGTTGAAACTCACCCTGGAAGCATTGTTGAACATCAGTATGTGAGGTGGGGAGGAAAGCCCCTTTCCTCTTCCTGCTCTGTCTGCATCAGCTGCTTGCAAGAGAGCACACCTGCTTTGGTTCAGTCTAGTGACCCCAAAACCCACCTCTTCACAGCAAGAGTCTTCATGACTTAGAAAAACCTTATCAAGTCAGTTCCTGTCCATACCCTTCCGGTCACAACAGTTGCTGGTCTGAGCAGGAGATACAGTAAAGTCACCACAAGGCAGAACAATTGAATCAATCTTGAATAGTTTTCATTGTAGAAACAATCACCAAGCCTTAAAGTGAACCCTGGATTCTTCTATCAGAATCCATGCCTACTGTTTTACTGCTAGAAACCCCAGGTTCAGGTTCAGGTTCAGGTTCATTCCCTTCCATACAGGGCTTCCCACAAAGATAGTCATCTTCTTGAGTGTTTGGTTTTGTTGACAGGTCATACAGCTTTACTTGATCGATTTAAAATCTTAATTTACATATAAGAAGGGGAAAAGCCAGCAGTTCTATGGAAAAAAGCACAGGAAGTCCTTACAAGCGATTTGTATCGAAAGTAACTTTCAGGAGCAATCCTAGACTGGAAGAAAGAAGATTAGACAGGAAGAAGGTCCTTCAGTTCACAGCATTTGGAAAATTCTGGGAATTGCAGGACTTTTTGCTGTCTGAACATGTAGAGGATTGTGCCCTTTAATCATTTTTTAAAATCTACTTTCCAATTAATCTGGAGAATCCTTTTAGCCAATCAATCAGGAGTAACTCTTTTGCTGGTTCATTTATTTATCAACTCCTGAACTGTCATCCACTCACCCCATCCTTTGTCTTAACAGCTTGCTTTTTCTGTATTGCCAGGTTCATACATTTCCCATCCTGGGCCGCATTCCTGCCCGCAAGTCTGTCATACGTGATTCTTCCTTCCAGTCCAAGCAGATGGGTCGGCGGGAGAATAAAGTCATTAACATGGAAGGCAGAGCCCAGTTTGATTTACTTCAAGTAAGAAAGGCTGGTGGCCCCCATTTTATAGAGAGGGAGAGCAGGTGGCCAGGTGGAGACACCAGCTGCAGTTTTGCAAACACAAGTTTATGCCTATTGGACCATGTTCTCACAACTTGCCTCTTCATCTCCTTTCCAGGTCCTGCTCAGGGATTACAAATTGCGGTCCTACACATTAAATGCTGTCAGTTATCACTTCCTGCAGGAGCAGAAAGAAGATGTGCAGCACTCAATTATCACAGACCTTCAGGTTCCTCTCTTTTGAACAAAAGTATTTGGTGGCTTTTATTCTGCATGATCTACTTCATTCCCATCTGTTGAGCATTTTACCAGCTGAGACTTATAATGGTAGAAGCTTGTCATTGTAGGCAATCCTACTTCTGATGCCTATATCCTGAATGCTTCAGTGACTTAGATTGGACTATACAGTCTTCCTGGCAGTCGCTAAGAATATGTTAACTTTTTATCCACACCCCGCCACTGTCCTGAACTGCAATTTCTAGGGTTCCTTGGGATTAAGGAGTGGGATAAAGTTAACTCTGTTTAAGGCAATTCATTAGGTAGACTCTCTGTAAAATACAGTGTGGCACAGTTTGACTCTTTATCTTAGAACTACTGCTGTATCAACTCAGGCTTGTCTGGGATAGTGTGACGAAGTTGAGCAGATGTAGGGAGTCTATTGTGACTGGTAGACCACATTCCTTTACGGGAAAAACTTCTCGGGCTCCATGCCATTGATGGGCATTGTTGGAGCCAAAGGCATGCAACTTTCTCTCCTGCCTTTTCTTTCCCCTTTCTTTCTTTCTCTCTCATTGCCTCCCATCCTCATGCCCAGCAGCAGCACTTTGGAGTTTTGGAAAAGCCATCACTAGCACCTCTGAAGGTTTCTCTTAAACTCTAGTTACTTCCAGAGGGTGAGGGGGAGTGGAGATCACAGTATGTGAGGAATAGGGTTAGCCCTTGGCTGCACAGCAGTTAGGCTTTTAAAAAGTGTTTATTAGCACTAAAAGAGGCTTTTAACGGCCTGACTTATGGGCAGGGTAGCCAATAGGAGAGGCCATAGATTGGATAAATAGGCCCTGTATACTGTGGTTCCCCATTCATGACCTAGAGTTTAACTGTCCCATTATATTTGCAAACAAGATTTCGATGTAAGGGGATCTTTACCCTTTTAAAAAGCTATTTTCTAGCCCTCCTGGTTGTAGGGAGGGCTAAATGTTTTGCTGTCATTTAATTGTTATGGTGACAGCAAAACATCCTGTTTGGGGAATTGTTATCACTTTCACTATTTATTTTTTTAGGAAATTTATGACTTGCCTTTTCTATACATTATGCTTAGTTTTATTTCTTGCTTTTGAGAAAAAATCTACAAAACTCCCATAAAACATCTCAAAAGGAACAATAATCAGAAGGGGAATCTCCCTGTACTTCAGTCAATGAAGCCAAAAGAAGACAAAAGGTACACTCAACCAAAAAGGTTGTCTTATGAAAACTAGGCAGGCTTTGAAAGCCTGTAGTCCAAGTTCCTGAATCTGCTGAACTTCCACTGGTGGGTGGTTCATAATTTTGGGATTATACATTAGTGGCCACTAATGTAACAGGCAATGATACTATCAAAAGATTACCCCTTCCAAAACCTAAAAAGCTGAGATGTACAAATCGAAGGTGATGCCTGTCCCTCTCTTTGCTGCTTCTGTAACTATACTTCATAGCCTGCAGTACATTACATAAAGGGGGCATTAACACTGCAGGAAAAGGGCAGCTCTAGGACAAAATAGTTCTCTTTGCTTATACATGCAACATTCCATCTTTGCTTCATGCAGGGACAGTTGTAGTCTTGAGCAGCCAATAACTTGGTCTCTTCTGTTTCTATATCCAGAAGCAAAGGTATATTTATGTCCTCAGCCCTTAATATGCAAGCCTTTTCTCTCTCCTGTTCACAGAATGGCACTGACCAGTCACGGCGGCGCCTGGCTGTGTACTGCCTGAAGGATGCCTATCTTCCCCTGCGGCTTCTGGAGAAGCTCATGTGTGTCATCAATTATATGGAGATGGCGAGAGTCACTGGTGTCCCTCTTGGCTACCTCCTTGCACGGGGGCAGCAAATCAAGGTGGTCTCCCAGTTGCTGCGGCAGGTGAGGGGCACAAGGGAAAATTGGGGGTGGGTGTTTGTTCAGATCAAGCATTTGTATCATTACAAAACATGCCAAAGATTTTGCCATCTAAGGCTGTGACCCTATACTCACTCACCGGGGAGTAAGTCCAGTTGAACGTAGAGGGCTTTGCTTCTGAGTAGGCATGCCTAGGATTGGGCTGAAAACATTCTTCTTCAAAAAACAAAAAAAAAAAAAAAAAAAACCACCTGATTGCTTTCCTTTTGTTTCCATTGTACAAGTGCATGCCTACTCAACTTACAACTGACCACAATATCCAGTTTTACTTTCAATCACATTTATATCCTATCTTGCCCCAGAATGCTTTTGGTGATGTATATTATCCTACCCCCACAGAACACTTAAATTGTCACAGCTCCCCTTTCAGGTAGGCTGGGCTGATAATTACCTAGTAAGCTTTGTGCTTAAGTGGGAATTTGAACCTGGGAGCCCCCCATCTTAAAACTAGCACTCTAACCACTACACCACACTGATTCTCTCTTATGTTAGATAAAGCAGCCTTGAGGAGGTGGTCCTTTCCCTCTTCTTGCTTTGCACTGTTCTAGTTTACCTCCTAGGCAGCTTCAGGTCTTCAGCAAGTGCTGAGATCTTTAGGGGGGATATGCAGATTAGGTACTGTCCTGAATTCTGGATTTGGCAGCTCTAGTCACCTTGAGAAAAACTGCTGCAAGTGTCTTGTTTAGAAAGACAGGATCACAAAGGAACCAGTAGTATCGCTTGCTTGAGAAACTTGTATGCCTCTACATAGCCCAAGGGCTCTCTGAGTAGCTTACAGAATAATATGAATCCCTATTCACTTTTGGCAACCAAACATCTTGAAAATCACATGGCTGGAATAGAGTCAAACAGTTCCTGTTGTCTAGCTTTGCCAGAATAACTTTCATGACACCCCTCTCACATCAGCCTTTCAGCTGGAGTAAACAGAAACTGATCTGTCTCACTTTTAAAAAAATCATACTACCCTGTAAAACACTCTGTGTGTTATATAAAAAAAGAACAAATAATAAAAGAACTCTGGTTGTCAAGTAGATAGCAAACAAGGTTAGTTGGGCAGACCCATGATACTGTGGCTTAGGGTGGAACACCCAGAGAAAGCTTTAATTGACACCCTTTTTCCACCCAAAGGCCATGAAGCAGAATCTGGTGATGCCAGTGGTGAAGTCAGAGGGCGGGGAAGACTACGCTGGCGCTACTGTCATTGAGCCGCAAAAGGGGTAAGGCCTGCACTGCAAGGACTGCAGCAGGAAAATGATCCTCTTCCCATGCCATGAGCTAGGGAAGGGGTTGCTGTGGTGGCTGAACCCACCCATTTTGCGTTGCGGTAGGTAGGCTTTGGGTCACGGAGCCGGAATACAGTGATGTGAGGCAGGAGGGGAGAAAGGAGCAGGCTTGGGGAGAAGGCCATGCTGCTCCAGCTTTCAGTCAGTGGAGGAGGAGGTCCTGGTTGGACTGCATGGGGGAGAAGCCTCAGATGAGACTGAGTGAGGTATGGGACTCCTGTATGCTCCCTTGATGCCTACTGAGAGAGACAGACCAGTGATTGGCAGCTGGAATTCCTGGGTTCTCTGGAAGGAAGCCAGTGGTGGATGTATTGTCTCACTGATGAAGTATAGAGGACTTACTTAACAGGATCCTTTTCTCTTGTAGTTATTATGATGTGCCCATAGCTACCTTGGACTTCTCCTCCCTGTACCCTTCCATTATGATGGCTCACAACCTGTGCTATACCACACTGTTACAAAAGGGGGCAGTTGAGCACTATGGGTAAGTGGAAAAGGACCTCTGGCTGACATTTTGCTAGGCTGCACAGAGCATGAATATGGCAGAAGCAATTGGAGCCTTGAAGTAGGAAAGGGAGACTCTTTCCTGATGCCTAAGATGGCAATTGCATGCCAGAAGTGGGGTGAGAGGGGAAAGCCAAGTTTTTGCAAAGCAATCAAGGGACAAGCCTACCCTGCCTGGCATTGTGACTCTTGTGGTGGTTGGTCCCTGATGCCCTGGAGAAAGGGGAGGTCCCCTCTTCCCTGGAAGGGTCTTTTTGAGGAGTGGATTTAACAAGTGGGGATTGATCGAAGGGGCCACCCCAACTGAGACTAGGGGCTTTCCAAATGAGGCATATTGCCAAATTCAGAGAAGGGATTGGAGACTGGGCTGGGATTTGTAAAAAGTGCAGTTAAATTCTCAGGTTGTTTGATTTAAATGGATGGTTGCCTTTTCCCACTAGGCTTTCAGCAGAGCAGTTCATTCGCACCCCCACTGGGGACCATTTTGTGAAGGCCTCAGTTCGCAAAGGTCTGCTGCCCGAGATCTTGGAGAATTTGCTGGCTGCCCGCAAGAGGTGAAGTGAGAGGAGAGGCATCTGCAGGAGTTTAAGGCTGTTGGGAACAGAGAGTCCAGGCTGTAGCTCAGGGGGAGAGCACCCCGTTTAGAAGACACAAAGCCTCAGGGGCGACCTCCAGCAACCTTGGGATGGGCAGGAAAAACTCTTGCCTGAAACCTTGGAGAGCTGCTGCCTGCCACCTTTAACAGTACTGGACTAGATGGACCAGTGGTCCCCAAACATTTTGGGGCTTCCACCCCTGTTTCTCTTGGGCCACAACCCTAGCATTTCCTTGCCTCTTCCTTTGTATTAGGTCTATTGCTGTACTGTGAATTTAAAACAACCAATCACTGGGACTTTCCACCCTCCCCATGGGAGTGGGACTGCCCACTTTGGGAATCACTGAGACAGAGCAAGGGTCAGACTCCATATAAGGCAGCTTCCTGTATTCTCCAGCCTCTCCATTTAAAAGGATCTTGGGTGGTATGACTGGGAAAAGCCATTACCTGAGACCTTAGAAAGCTGATGCCTGTCACAGTAGCATACACCTGGCTACTTGGGATAATAACCTGGCTCTTTGAGGACAGGAACCATTATCTGTGCCTTTTCTAACAAAAGAATTCCTATTTTTTTTCTCAAGAAAGAGTTAAGGAAGAAAAACCTTAAATCAATGGAAGAAAGATAATTAAAATGCTTGGATACCCAGAGTGGATATTGGGAGAGCTACTTTGAAAACCAGAATGATGTGGCTTTTGGGGTAGTGGGCTAGGTGCATGTGGGAAAAGGATGACAATCAGTAATGCAGAGTCTGGTAGTTTTGGAAATTGGGTGTCTACTAAGAGTGAACAATTATGACCCAACATGTAGGTTTTCTAAGAATTCCTAACAATCTAGGCTGGTAGAAGAGGCCGATGTAGAATATCAGCCATTGTTCTTTACTCTCCCTCTTTCTGTCCCTTCTTTGGTTCAGGGCCAAGGAGGAGCTGAAACGGGAGACAGATCCATTCAAGCGCCAGGTGCTGGATGGACGGCAGCTGGCCCTAAAGGTCAGCGCTAACTCTGTGTATGGCTTCACTGGTGCCCAAGTGGGCAAGCTGCCTTGCCTTGAAATCTCTCAGGTAAGCCTGACCCCTCTCAAAGATGGGGAGTTCTCAGGTTGCAGTTTTGTTTTATAATGAGCTAACATCCATGGAGTGTCTGAAACTATCAGTTCTCTCTCACATGGTTAGCTGGTTGCCTTATCAGCAGAGGTCAGGTGGGTAGTTCATTCTCTATTGCTGAAGCGAATTTGGGTGAATTCCTAGTGGTCTCCTTCCCTTGATGATCCTTGGTCTTTCTGTCATTTTATAGCTTGCTATAATTTATTAAGCATGCATTCTGACATTTTAAATGAACCAGTGCTTCTCAGTTGCTTTGCAGTAGGTTTCGGACAGGCAGAATGGAGTCCTGCTCACAAAGAACATAGGTGAACTTTATAAATGAACTGAAGATCAACCAGTACATGATGCAGTAATTGCCAGTAGCTTAGATTAGTTTTTAAAAGCTAATCTAGGCCAGTGAGGTTTAGTTCTAGAACATTGGACTGAGTCTTGCAAGATCCAGGTTCTAGTCCCCTCTCATCCATAAAACTTCCTGGGTGACTTTGGGCCAGTCACTGACCCTCAGCCTAGCCCACCTCCCAGGATTGTTGTGAAGATAATGGAAAGGAGAAAGCTCATGTACACTATTTTGTGCTCCTTGGAGTCAAGGAGGGATATAATAATATTATTACATTGCGTTTGCATCCTGCCTTTTTTCCTCTTGTGAGGAACTCAAGGTGGCTCCATGGCTCCATTTTCTGCTCACGACAACAGCCCTGTGTGGCAGGTTAGGCTGACAACCTGCCCTAAAGTCACCCAGTGAATGTCATGGCTGAGTGGGGACTAGAACCTGGATTTTCCAGGTCCCCAGTTCAAAACTCTAACCATCATACCCACTGTATAACAAATAATATTGTTCTGCACGTACCTAAGGTCTCCTTAGTATAACAGTAATAATAGATAAATCAATGTAAGGTAAAGATTTCCATGGAGGATAGATCTATTTAAAGCACACTTCTCCAGCCTGGGTCACTCCAAATGTTTTGGGTTATACCTCCCATCAGCTGTGGCCAGCATGGACAATGGACTGGGACAGTGGGACTTATATTCTCAAACATCTGCAGGGAATCTAGATAAGGGAAGGCTGGAGTAAAGGTTATTTACCTTGGCTGCTAAACAAAAATGTGACTGTACCTCTGAATACCACATGTTGGGACAAATAAAAGGGGAAGGTACTTGCCTCTGAACAGTTTGTGAGAGCCCAGAGGTCTATCTGGATGGTCACTTTGAGAATAGAATGCTGAACTGATGATTCTTAACTTTTATAGTCTTACTCATAATTCTGTACAGTGGATTAAACAGCAAGAGAATGTCTGCCTGGAAAATGGGAATGCACAATCTCCCAACAAGCAGTATCTAAACAGAGCTCCACATCAGGGGTCCGCCAAATACCAGACCCGAGCATTTTGTAGACTCCGTGCAAATTAAGCAGGCTGTTTGCTTTTTGTAGCTTCTTTCCATCACCACTTCTAAAACCCCCAGAACTAATAGGAGTGTGCCTGTTCAGGGTTCCAGTTAGCCAGGCTTGCCTTCCACCAGTAGGACAGTCTGCCCCAAAGTTCCCAGTTCTTCTTTCCCAGCTGACACCCAACATCCATGGCTACTAAGTGAACATCCTGGAACAAGCCGTATCTCTTCCAGGTGGTGGAAGAGATGTTGCCTCCTTATTATTAAAAGACATGTTGCATTTCTGTAAATGTTGGAATTCCACCGAGCAAGTCAGTACCATCCTCCTTCCCTCTCTGTCTGTGTGGTTCTCTGCCATAGTGGACAGTCACCATCTGAGTTCATTCTTAGAAGGAATGATCTGAGATGTCTCCCCGGATCAGAGTAAAAATGACCTCCCTGGTTTAGTCTACAAACTCTCTCATTCCTTGTGTTAACTAAAATAAAAAACCAGGCTAACCTCTCTGCAAATACAGTCACCATTCATTCCTATAGTTGTGATGAGTGGATATTGCTTCCTATTGGAATGGGTTTAAAGCAGCAGGATTTCTATGGCACACAGGTTAGGAAATCCATGGCTCGGATGTGCTTCAGAGGGGATGGATGCATCAACGTGTCTGGCAAAAATCATATGGGCAGCATAGTGCAAGTGTGTGGAGGAGAGATTCTAACTATGTTTAAGGTAGCTTTCCCTAACCTGGGGCTTTTCATTTGTTTTGGACTACAACTCTCATCATCCTCCACCAGTATAGCCTATGGTCAGGAGTGATGGGAGTTGCAGCCTAAAATTGCAGGGTGCCAGATTCAGAAAGGCTGCTTTGAGAAATTTCCTTATGGTCTTCTATTTATCTCATCCCAAAACTTGAGACATTGCCTATATCCCTCTTTTCCAGAGTGTGACTGGATTTGGACGTCAAATGATTGAGAAGACCAAGCAGCTGGTGGAGTCCAAGTATACCATTGCTAATGGCTACGGTGCTGATGCAAAGGTTAGAGGGGAATGGTCAGGAGGGAGACGAGTCTTGCAGCTGGAACAGTGAGAGGAAGGCAGTGAAATAAGCTGGAGTGGGGGAGAGACTGAAGCTGCAAGAGGAAGAGAGAGAGGCACCGCATGGCTTGTGGTGGAGGCAGCTGGCGTGGCAAAGAAACCGTAAGATACGAGAGACGTGAGTAATCATTTCCAAAGGTTCCGTTAGGAACATAGGAAACTTCCTTATACTGAGTCAGACCATGGGTTCACCTAGCCCAGTATTGTCAGCAGTAACAGGCAGTGGGTGTCTCTCCAGAGATTCAAGCAAGATTCTTTCCTAGCCCCACCTGGGGATGCGGAAGGTTGAACCTGGGACCTTCTGAATGCCAAATAGGTGCTCTACCCATGAGCAATGGCTCCCTCTGCCAAGTATCCCCTTTTTGTCGCAGGTAGTCTATGGGGACACAGACTCCGTCATGTGCCGCCTGGGTGTGCCGTCAGTTGCAGAGGCCATGGAAGTAGGCAGGGAAGCAGCCACCTGGGTCTCCAGCCACTTCACTCCCCCCATCAAATTGGAGTTTGAAAAGGTGAGTTGGGTGCAGGGGCCTCTCCGTGTCCTACATTGCAGGCATGGATGTACAAAGCTTGCCAATGAAACGGGAACTTCACACATGATCCTCAGCGGGTAGGAAGTGTCCTTGTATTAATATACATATACATACACTATTCAATATCTATTTGATATCTACATGAAACCGCTGGGAGAGGTCATCAGGAGGTTTGGGCTGCAGAATCATCAGTACGCTGACACCCAGCTCTACCTCTCTTTTTCAACTGATCCAGGTGAGGCAGTGGCTGTACTGAACTGGTGCCTGGCTGAGGTAATGGGCTGGATGAGGGCCAATAAACTGAAGCTCAATCCAGACAAGATGGAGGTCCTGTTGGTGGGTGGTTTGAGCTCCTGGGTAGGTGACTCAGACCTTGCCCTGAAAGGGGTTGTACTCCCTCTAAAGGACAGGGTCTGCAGCTTGGGAGTGCTCCTCGACCTAGAGCTGTCCCTGGAGGCTCAGGTGACTGCGGTGGCAAGGAGCGCTTTCCTCAGCTTTGGTTAATCCATCAGCTGCGTCCCTACCTGGAGGACGATTGCCTAGCGACAGTGACACATGCATTGGTTACTTCCCGGTTGGATTTCTGCAACGCGCTCTACATGGGGCTGCCCTTGAAGACAGTCCGGATACTTATGATGGTGCAAAATAGAGCAGCCAGGTTGCTGATGGGGACTGGGCGTTATTCTCATATAACCCCAGTTCTCTACCAGCTTCACTGGCTTCCCATAGAAGTCTGGGCTCAATTCAAGGTGCTGGTTATTACCTATAAAGCCCTTAACGGCTTGGGACCAGGATACCTAAAGGAACTCCCTCTTTCATATTTGCCCTTCCACCCCCTGAGATCAGCAGCAGAGGCCCTCCTCTGGGAACCCTCCGTGAATGATATTAGGAGGCAAGGTACCCAGAGGAGGGCTTTCTCTGCGGTGGCACCCCGCTGATGGAATGCGCTTCCCAGAGAGGTCCGCCTGGTGCCGTCGTTATTTGTTTTTCAGCACCAGGCTAAGACCTTTTTATTTCAACAATATCTTAATAACTTTTAATATTAGCTATTTATGTTTTAATCTGCAGCCAGGGTGGATCTGGAATTTATTTGTATTATGTTTTTATTGCTATTTTTATTTATTTATGTAAGCCATCCTGAGGCTCTGCAGAAGGAAGGCATATAAATAAAGACAGACAGACAGACAGACAGACAGACAGACAGACAGACAGACAGACAGAAAGGTGGAATGAGGAGGTGATAGGAAAGGTGGGAGAAGACACCGAAAGACCAATAACACTTCTTGCAGATGGTAGATGCAGATGATATTGAATTCACCACAGCTCAGAATCTACCTGTGACTGTCTGCAAGCTGTGATATCAACTACTCAAAATGAAATTAATGTGTATGTATTTAGTTTGTATGCTGCCCAAGCAAAAATGGTGTCTCTGGAAGCACTCTTTGCATTTTAAAGGAAGCCGCCTTTGGTCAGTTGGGAGATGAACTCCCATCTGTTTGTTTGTAGCTGAAAACTTAGTCTTCCCCAGCTGTGTGTACAATCCCCCTTGTCCATCACACCATCTCCCAGTATGCCTCCAGTCAGTGCAGGGGAATCCAGATTAAAAGATCTTCCTGTCTTTGGTGCATGGAAGCTAATATGGGAGAGGACAAGCCTTTTCTATTTTCTCCGTCTGCCCACTGGCCAGGTTTACTTCCCCTACCTGTTGATTAACAAGAAGCGCTATGCTGGCCTGTACTTCTCCTCCAACCCTGACACGCACGACAAGATGGACTGTAAGGGCATTGAGACGGTGCGCCGAGACAACTGTCCCCTCGTGGCAAACCTCATCAACACTTGCCTGCAGAAGCTGCTCATAGACAGGTCTGTGGTGTGTGGGATGAAGCGCCATTCTGGATGGGACCTGCCCTTTGCCGGTGTAGTGGCGGTGTGCTGGGAAGCGGGGAACAGCACGTGTTTGACCTGGAGCTGACCAATAGTTCAAATTTCTGGGTGCCAGAATAAAACTCTGAGAAGCTGACTTCTAAACAAGAATGTCCAATTGCCAGGTATCAAGAGAATCGCTCACCCAGGTGCCTCCCATGCATTTCTGCATTCTGCTGGAGATCAGAAGTCTTGGTCCCTCTGGAGCCCTTTCTCTTGGAAAAGAGGAGAGCTCTGATGGGCCACCCTTACACATCTTTGTAGGGACCCTACAGGCGCCGTGGCCCACGCTAAAGAGGTGATCTCGGATCTGCTGTGCAACAGAGTTGACATCTCGCAGCTTGTAATCACCAAGGAACTGACACGCACCGCAGATGAATATGCAGGGCGCCAGGCTCATGTGGAGTTGGCCGAGCGGTGAGTTGATGGAGAGAAGGGGAGCCTTTTTCCTCCTCATCTTCCTTTTTAGAAGAAAGTGGAGAGCGGAGGCTTCTGACCTCAGGACGCCCCAGATCCAGATTTGGAGCAGATAGACTGAATATAAGAAGCTACCTTCTGCTCAATCAGACTATCATCCACCTGGTTTGACAACTAACCCATGGTTGGTTGTCTTGCCAAGAGTTTGTTTGGTGAACAGTCAAACGAATTACAGACTCTTTTTTCAGTCTCTGAGTTGTTTGTTTTTCTCCTCTTATTCCTTCTGTTGCCCTGGATGCCAAATACCATTTCAACACTGTATACTGGCACGTAGAGTGGCTGGGTTCCCCCCACCCCCTTCCTGTCATTCTGCAATCCAGTGAAACAAGGCATGAACAACCTATCGTTCTGGGTTCATACATAGCGACAGCCCTTGGTTTAAGTAACACAAGTTCACAAACGGGCAAAAAACCTGGTTTTCTTTTTGAATTGTTCATAATTAACCAACCACGGTTTATTAGCATGTCTGGGTTTGCACACCATGACAACCCAGAATTCAAGAAACCATGGATTAAATGAGTCATGGATTAGTGTTCTGTGTGAATCAATGTCTGCTCCTGACTGACAGCAGCCCTTGAAGGTTTCCAGCACAGTCATAATCAGTCTGTTTCTGTAGTGCATTTTCTACAATACATTTTGTCAAAGTGGTTCACAGAGCAAACAAATACGACAGCCATGAGTATAATACATAAACTCAATTATAATTCACTTGAAGCATCATAAAATTAAAACAAGAGGTTAGTTAACAATCCAGTAGGTCAGTTAAAGCCTCCAGTATCAGTAATAACACATCAAATAAACCAGGCCAAATGATAGAGGGATAGAAGTTGGGGCCTTCTGTGGATGCAGAACATACGCTGTGCCACTGAACTGCCACCCCTCTCTTGGGTCTTGTGAGTGGCAGGTACCGTGGATCCATCTATGGCGCTGGACTAGTCTGCTTTGCCTTCCCAGTCTGCCCTGAGAAACACGGGCCTGTCTGTCCTCTGGACAGCGGAAAAAGCTGTGTGGGTGTGGGCTGGCCGATGAGGCATGACTGAAGGGAAGGGCAGAAATAGCCCTGGCAGGCACAGCTGCAAGAGGAACCTCCTGTGACGCCCACCCCTCTGCTCTGGGTTTCCTGTCTGACTGCAGCCATTTCACCTGCCACAGGAAGATGCTCTGGGGTAATGCACCTGCTTCTCTTGCTTGGCTGCTTCACTGCCTTTCGACAAACAAAAGGTTGAGATGGTGAAAGTGACCCTCGTCGGCGTAGCTGCTGCCCAACTGCTTGGGTGCTTGGGTTTTGTTCTCTGGCCCTTGTCCCCCTCCGCATTTCTTCTCAACCATCTCTCTCCTCTAGGAAAATACGTCAATAGTATTGTTTACCATCACATGGTTGAGCTTTCTGTTCTCTCGCTACTGTTTCAGCTCCTTCTCAACCCATTCCGAGTCTGGAGAAATATTGTGGCCCCAGCATTCCCCGCTTAAACACAGCTTTGAGAGTTGGGCTGGATTCTGCTGTGCTGCCATCCCATGCAATCCTCAACGTTGGCTCACATGTCTTCTCCCCCTAGGATGCGGCGGCGGGACCCTGGCAGTGCCCCGAACCTGGGAGACCGAGTGCCGTATGTCATTATTAGTGCAGCCAAAGGCGTTGCTGCTTATATGAAATCTGAAGTGAGTCATTGTGAGATGAAGCACATGATGGCTAATGGGGGAGTGCCTAGGGAAAGGATGCCTGCACGGGGCTTGGCTGGGTTTAACCTTCCCCTGTTTTCTCTCTTCCGACCTGCTTGAACCAATTGACTGAGGAAGGGAGAGAAACATCTTCCTTATGCGGAGCTGGTCCCAGCCTTGTCCGTTGTTCTGTGTTCAGGCCCAAGTGCTGCAGCTGCAGCTACTTTAATGCTGCATAACTGACCTGATCTCCAAAGCTGGTTGCTGATAACCTGAGCTTCCCATGCCGTTGCCTGTGCGTGGGCGTGTGCGCTGAGCACTGGCCATTTGTAGGCTGAAATAGATGAAGGCATTTCCTGTCAACATCTTTCACCTCTTTTGCTTCTTCAGGATCCTATCTACGTTTTGGAGAATAACCTGCCCATTGACACCCAGTACTACTTGGAGCAACAACTTGCCAAGCCCCTGCTGCGCATTTTCGAACCCATCCTGGGGGAGGGCAAGGCCCAGAATGACTTGCTAAGTGAGTGTGAACAGCAACCCGTAATGCAGAGCAAAATTGGAGTGTGGCCCTCAGAGAAAAGCAAAATGCATGTTTAATCTCCAGCAGGCTTCAAAATCTCTCTCTCAACCCTAACCCAAGTTGTAGGCTGAAGGCACACGAGGCAGTCATCTCGCTTAAGTAGGTCTGGATTTGGTTGGTGCCTGGAGGGGATACTGCCTAATAATCCTATGTTACCACCTTGAGTTTCATGATGGACTAAAGACTGGATAGAAATGAAATAATAAATAAAGCCATGGTTCCATGGTTGCATTGGCAGAATAGTCCAGAATACTTGCCAGAATATGCAAGTGGAGAAAGAGTTGGCCATGTCCACTTGTCCACTCCTTGTCTCAGCTCCAAAGGGGTGTCTTATGGTGCCCTTTGGCCAGTTTATGTGGGCCTGCAGCCCGTCGTTGGAACAAGGAATTGGTTCCTCTCTTTCTGCTGCTGTTGATTCCTCTAGAATTTGTCCCTCTAGCAGATGGTGTCTCCAGGCTTGAATCTGATCACATGGGGGGGGGTGAGAAGAGAGTGGGCTGACTTAGGATTTTGGGAAGGGAATAACTCCAATCTGGTTTTGTAAGAGGCAACCTGGAGCCCGCTATAGGTCTTGGACTACAGCTCCCACAAGCCCCAGTCAGCATGGCCAAGATGCAAGGATCATGGAAGTTGTAGTCCTAAACGTCTCGTCAATGCCTGTCTCCCTACACTCGGCCAGAGATCTCATGGTGATGGGCATCCTATAATAAGGAGCTCTGTGCATTTCCGGGCAACACTGTATTCTGTGGGGATGCTCTGAAGGAAATACGGGGTCCACATCCCTTTCCACCGCAGTAAAAGCATGAGCTGTGTACCGATGGTTTTTGGCCTGCTTGGTACATGCATGGGACGTGGAGCTGAGTGGGCTCAATCTTGCATTTCCTTCCTTTTGCAGAGGGAGAGCACACCCGCTGCAAAACCGTACTGACAGCCAAGGTCGGAGGCCTCATGGCTTTCGCCACCAAGCGAAGCACCTGCATCGGTTGCCGGGCCGTGCTCAGCCACCATGGTGAGGTCCTGCCGCTGCTCGTCTGCCTTTGTTTCTGCTGTGTGGAGTCTATTGAAATACGTTTCGCCCCCCTCCCCCATCACGCACTTCTAACCAGCAGCAAATTTTGCAAGTTCCTATTGCCGGAACTTGCCACATAGTTCAGTGTGTTTCAATCACTCTGCCTTTTTTTCCATTTTCTCTCTTCCAAAACAAGAATAACATAACCTTTGTGACTCCCTGGTTCTCCCTCTTTCCCATATTTGCAAATGAAAAAAGAGAAGGTCACCTATAAGTTGTGAGGGTGTGCACTGAAGAGTGATAGATTCTTCTGAATGGATCTGAAGCCAACAATCTAGAAAAAAGGACTCTGGTTTCTTTGAGAGGAAGATGATTCCTAACCGTTGGTGTAGAGAAGGGCAGGAAATGAGGAGTCCTGGGTTGTATAGATTTAGTTGGAGTAGAACCATTGAAATCAATAGGATTTGTTAGCAATTCTATCTATTTCAGAAGAATTACTTCCATTATTAACTGTTCAGTAGGGATATTCTGAATAAATCAGGACAGATTCCCATGGGTTGTCTTTACATCTTCTGGAAGTCTCTGGTCCTAATCCGCATGACCAATCCTCTTATGGAGGAGAAGCATTCAGGGGTAGGTGTCCTCTTCATGGTTTCTGCCAAGCTGAAAAGAAGACTAAAATGTACCAGGGAGTAGGTGCACCACAGCAAGCAGATTGCAGCATGAATAATTCCAGATTACTCAAGCGAGTGAGCCAAGTAGAAGACTGGACCAAACCAACCCAAGCACTCCAAGGCTGCTGATTGGCTTGACAGTGAGCCAAAACCTCAGGCATAAAGCAGGGGGAGCAGCCAAATCCTGAATATGATCCAGATCCAGATCCATCCACCAAATCTTCTCAAAAGAAATGCAACTTCAAGCTTTCCTGGGGGGCAGCCTTCCTTGGGAATGGGTGGAAATGCTGGGAGGATGGGAATTCTTTCTGACACCCTGCTCTCCATCAGGTGCTGTGTGCAAATTCTGCCTGGGCCGCCAGTCTGAGCTCTACCAGAAGGAGGTAAGTGGATCTGTAGCGGGGCTCCTGGGCTCGCTGCTAGCTGGATAAAAGGAAATGCCTGGGAGACCTGCACAAGTGCACATCAAGCACAAAGTGTATGATGAATTAGGCTTAAGCATTATAATTTGGAAAATCCTGGCTTGTGGTGCAGAGAAATGGGGCTTGGAAGCCAGCCCTCTGGGATCTAAGCTTAGAAAATGGGTTCATTGGCATAGCATAATGGCCAAGAGAGCTAGAAATCAGGAAGTGACTGCCATAAAGTCACTTGGGCTATCGCCTCCTCCGCTGTACTCCCAATCTGCAACATGGAAGCAATAATACTGACATAACAATAATACCTTACGGGGTTATTGGAAAGATCACAGCAGCACTGTGGATTTGAAGAGGTTAGAATATTCGAAAGTGCTCTATAAATATTGAGTAGTGTTGAAGTCAGAATGCCCCGGTTGGGTCATCTGCCTGCCCTTCCTCCTTGCACCGTTGCCCTTCCTTGCAGGTGACCCACCTGAGCTCGCTGGAGGAGAAGTTCTCGCGCTTGTGGACCCAGTGTCAGCGGTGCCAAGGGAGCTTGCACGAAGATGTGCTCTGCACCAGGTGAGGGTTGGCTGCCCACCGCGCCCTCACATGGCAGCACTGGCTTTTGCCCGTTCCCACGGGATAGTGGGCTAAAATATGGCTTTATGCCACCCTGGGTATTTACAGTTGCTTATCGGGCTGGCTTGGGATCAGCAAACAGATGGCTCCCACGGAGAGGTACAGGGTGGGGGTGCTCCTGAAGATGTTTATTGCCTTTATAAATACAGCACCTGTCAGCAGCTGGCAGGGGAGGTGGGAGAGTGGAGAGATAGGCCTTCCGTCTAACACACAAGTTAGCAACGTTGTTGGGTAATTCTCCAGCACAGGAATGGGGCACAAGTGTGTATCACATGGGGAATTGGTGGCAGCCAGGGTCTGACCTTCACAGGGCGCAAAATTAGATGTTGAAATCCTGATGGTAATTGTAGAGGTGGAAAAGCTGCAGGGCTACCATTTGTGACACATGTACACAGAGAGAGAGAGAGAGAGAGAGAGACCTTGCCTGTGAGTAACCAGTGCAGAAGAAGAGCAGGGCTATTGCTTTTTTTAAATTAGTTTTCTTATTTGAGGGAGGAATTTTCCGAAACCAGAATTCCTCACCTGCATTCCGAATTAATGACACAGTTCATCTTAGCACTTCATTCCCACAAACTAAGGAGGGTTGTGTGAGCCAAAGGTTTGAATTGCCCCTCTTCCTACGGGAGAGTCCCAGTTTCTTCACCTGCTTATGTATTCATTCTCTGAATTTTTCTCCTCCAGCCGTGATTGCCCCATCTTTTACATGCGGAAGAAAGTGCAGAAGGACCTTGATGATCAAGAAGCCCTAATCTCCCGCTTTGGCCCCCCTACATGGTGATGTCAGCTTATTTTTTCCTCAGCCTGAAACCCACCACCACCTCCATCCTGCCTCTCTTTTAAGTATGGGGGCAGGAAAGGCAGTGAGGCAGGAAAAGATGCAAGAAAAAGTGTCTCTGTACTTTTGGTGTTGATTCATTTCCGAGAGGAGGGGACAGGACTCTGAATATTGCAAGGAAGATGTTCTATTTTTCCTGCAGGCCTCCTCCTGGGGGCTGTGTTTTTGTAATACGAATTTTTACCAATAAAGATACCTTACTTTTTCCTATATGTGAGTTGTTTGTATGGGGCTCATCTGGGTTTCTGAATTCTGTGGAAGAGGGATTGTTAGGCTACCAGAAGCTTTATTTAGGGGCAGGGTCTACCATGTTCGAAAGCCATCACCGGCCATCTATTCAGTCCCTGAAATGCTCATCACACACATTTGCATCTTCAGCTCCATAAAACCAGCAACATTGAACTGCACAACCAGGTGTTCAATTAACCTTTGGATGTTATTTTTGTTTTTGTCCCCAGGAAATTTACAACATCAGTGCCCATTCAACAAGCTTTGTATATATTATAAGATTTATGTGTGCAAGTCACAAGACAACGATAAATCATGTATGCAAATTGTGCATCACAGTCATGAATCTGTTTACCAGAGCAATCAGAAATAAAGTAAAAAACCCGCACTAACGATGTCATCTGGGGATAGAACTAAGACCAGCCCTGGCAGAAGCAGCAAGCCAAGACTTCCTGGGTCTAGGAGAGAGTGGAAATAAGACAGGAGGGGTCCTGCTGGGAGCAAGAGGCTTATCAGAGTGCTGAGTAGGGTCCAGATTAGAGGGAAGAGGTGGGATGGGGAAAACCCAGAACTAGCTCTCCCGAATTCTATTCCGCCTTACTGTCCCCTGAACAGGTTGTGTGTTCCCTCATGCATGGATTTGTTTGCTTTCATGATAGGCATGCAAGACCAATCATGCCCTGATTGGCCCTGCTAGCACTCTTAGGAGAGTTTTCTCAGTCTCTTGGTTGTGAAGATAAGTCTAGATAACAAATGGTGTTGGAAATGACGTGGGAATCTAAATTGAGTTTTTAATCTATTGGGATGGGCTAACTATTGAGCATGGAATATTCTTCCTCAACCTGGTGCCCAGCAAATGTGAGGGGGGGGATAACTTTTCATGTTGCCCCCAGCCAGCATGAAGGATTAGTGCTAATGGCAGCTGTACCTGGGGACATTGGTGACTGCATCCCAAGGTGCCCAAAGGCAGTCCCTTGATGTGCTGCCCTGGCCATGTTCTGCGCCTCCCAGCTCACATTGCCTGTTCCACCATCTCGTGCATTCACAAAACGAGATAAGGAAAGAGCCATAAATTACCCCTAATCATATATTTGATGCCTGCTTGTACTCCCTAACCAGATAATTGCAGTCAACAAATAGTGGGACCAAAAATAATGCAAATAGAAGTAGTTCACTCCTATGAAAGAGCCTCCAACAATGCCTGAAATACAGTTCAAATTCTAGCTCAACTGGGAGTTGCGTCGCCTCTGATGAAATCCTGAGCCATGATTAATGCATTAGAGCACAATCCTATACATGTTCAGAAAAAAGACCTATGACTTCCAGCGTTTCCCATACATAGAAAATATCCCACACTTCCCCTCCAAAAAGGATTTCCTCAAAGAGGTGGGTAGAAATAAAAACAGATGTAAAAATATTCCAATAATAAAAGCATCAAATACTTCAGAAATGAATGACTTTGGGTGTTCTGGCCCACATGTTTATCCTTCTTCCTCTGTCTTTATAACTAAACTTGGTTACCTGCTGCCCTGACTTGAGTCTTGCACTGTGTACATCATGTTTTAACCTCCTCCCAAGGACTGTACCAGTTATCCAGTTGAGGCAGCAGCAGGAGTAGAAGGGGGTAAAGGCTGCAGGAAATGGAGTCATGGGGGATGCTCCAAGGTCTCTCTGCCCCCATGGCCATGCTTGCTGGGGGTGATGGCACTTGTAGTCCAGCACATCTGGGGGGCATCTGATTGTGGAAAGCTGACATATTTGTTCCATTTTTCCACAATGCACACATTCCTACATAAGCTCATATTAAGATTTCCTGTTTGGGCTGGAAAAAGCTTGAACTGCAATTAAAGCATTTTCCAAGCCTAGTTCTGGCAAAGGGGGTTATAATCTGGGTGAATCTGGGGTTGCAACAGGCTGAGGGGTGAAATTAACCCCTTTTTTCTGGGTTCCCTTCCTTAAATTGTCCCCACATGGCAACTTCGCTGTTAGGTGCCATCAAGTTGTCTCCAACTTAGGGTGACCCTTTGAATGAAAGCCCTCCAAATGTCCTGTCCCTGACAGCCCTGCTCTGCTCCTATATATTCAAAGCTGGATTAACTTTCTTTATGGAGTTAACCCACTGCAACTAAGCTTGGGGAAAACCTTCCCCAGGCTCCAAGAAGCGGTGGAGGGGTAGAAACTGCAGGAGACAAAGGCATGGGGCCTGCTTCATGATCTTTCTACAAACCACCATCTCTTGAGTAAGCGTAATCCGGATGGAGGAGTCAGGGCAGTGGAGATAATGGGGAAAGGTCTGAAAGATAAGTCTTTCAAATTCTTTCACAAGTCTTGATTCCCTGGTCGCCTGCCCACGTGAGCTCTGCTCATGAGGCTGATGCAGATTAAGCGGGGGTTCAACTTGGTGCCAGGCAGCCCTCCTCTCTAGCACTGGGAGAGCAAATTATGCAGGGAACTTTAAAAAAATTGATACAACAACCCCGTACAATGTGTGACTTTAAGGACTTAGGTATTTATTGAGGACTAGAGCCCCAATTCATTGAATGACTTTTTAAATTAATTTACTCCATTTATTTATGAATGATTTTGCTTGAATCTGGTTTAAGTATGTGAGTTGCCTCTAGGGCCACAAAGTGCCTTAGAAGTTAAAATTGCTTAAAACTTTTCCTCTGGTTACAGTCTTGGTTTAAGGTTCTTCCTCTGTCACAAACAGGCCTCTACACTTATGACTACTCTGAACTTTTATTCATTCTTGCAGCATATGCAAGATGTGAAAGTCCTCATTAAGACATCAGTCAAAAGTACAACACATTTAATGCGCCTGCTCCCTCTCTGCCTCTTTGACAATGTGCACCAGGCAAGGCCATCTCTGTGTTTTCTGGGCAATTGTCTGTAAAACTGGCACCATTTATTGATTATATTTATTCTGAATTTATAGCCTGCCTTCTTGCCAAATTGACTGTTTAAAATTTATATTACTTATAAATATAAATATTTTTATTTTATTATTTTTATTTATAATTATAAATACTTATAATCACAAGTCATAAAAAAGGTTAAAATCAGACAAAAGCTTAAGGAAAAGTTCCAGTTTTAAATGAAAGGAACTCAAAAGATGTAGAAGCAATTAAATAAAAGTGAGAAAGAAAACAAAAGCAATTAAATTAAAAGTTTGAGAGAACAGGGGTGATTTTTGCTAGGAGCCTAAAAGAGAGCAAGAAGGTCATGAAGAGAATGCATCTCAGGACGGCATTCAGCAGCATGGGAACACCTCTGGTCAGTGCTTGCCTTTCTTTGCAAGCTGGGGTCAGAGAGTGAACATCAATGACCTACCATACAGGGCTGTTGTGAGGATAGACAAGCAAGGAATGGAATGCATAACTTGATGGTGCCAGATATAAAGCAAGTGACCTTTCCTAGAGGAAACCGTTTTTATATGAGGGATGCTGTACTGAGATGTGATTGTGGAGCAGGATTGGTTTACAGGGAACTTGTGCTCCTCCCTCCATATTTCAGTCTATAATGGCTATGATCCATGCCCACTGCTGTCTAGGGCTGATGGGAGTTGTAGGCCAAAATATCTGGAGGGCCACAGATTTCCCAGCTGTGGCTTAAGAAGAGAAGCAAACTATTGGGGAGGCATTATGGAGCCTGGTGCTAGATGGGAGCCAGCATGGATTTTGAGGGGACCCATCTTACATTCAGCCACCTGGCTTGGTGGGCTTCTCTCTCTCTCAGGTTAGCCTTTCTTACGAGTTTATGAAGATAACCAGTGTTTATGAGGATAAATGGGGATACAGAATGGAAGTTAGAGAAAGACCCAGGTATATCACCCTGAGCAATTCGAAGGAGGCGTGGGGTGAAAGTTATTTATTTATTTAAGGAAAGTAAATTCTACTTTTTCCTCCAAAGGTGGGGTTGGTCAGAGTCATAAAATGATTATCACTGAAACAAGTTATGTGATGAATTGAAAAGCAGCTGCACAAGCAAAAGAATTTAAAAAAGTTTTGTGCAGTGTAACACAGCATTCTTTAACCTGGTGTCCTCCAGCTGTTTGGATTACAGCTCTGAGGATTCCTGACCATTGATTCTGCTGACAGGAAGGCCAAAAGGAATCAGGTTGAGGAAGGCTGATGTAAAACATTGCACCTCATTCCTACATTCGTTTTCTGCAACGGCTGGTTCCGGAATATGATGCCAACTCTGCCTGCCTGTCTCTCCAAACTCCTGGCTGCCTCCTGCTCCATGAGCGTTGATTTTATGTGATAGAGCAAACCACAGCAGAGTTTAGATACTTGCTCCCTTTCATTTGGGTCTGCTGCTCTTCCTAGCAAGCTTTGAAGCTCAATAAAACACTTATCACAGCAGAAGACCTGAACATTGCCTACAAAGTGAGCTAAAGCACATTGGTTCTCTCTGGAAACCATGGCATGGCAAACGAAGAGGAGGTGGCTGCTTTGACTTTTATATGAAGAACCCCTTCCCCTCTCCCTTGGTGCCTGTCAGCAACATGCACCAGAAGGACTGCTCAGAAAATGGAGATGCTGGAGGGGTGGCGGGAGTGCCTGAATCAGCCTTCCCCATCCCAGTGCCCTTCAACTGTGCAAAAAACAGTTCCCATTGTCTCCAGCCAGGCTTGCTGCAGACAATAGGACTTGAAGTCCAGGACAGCCAGAGGGCATCAGGAGAAGAAGGCTGACATCCGAAGCGTGTCAGGCTGGGGAAGAATGAGGCTCATCAATCCTACAGCAGAATAAAAGGGTCAGGCGACCTCCAGAAGGCTAATTTTAGCATCGGCTGGATACATCTGACAATATGGATGCTGCTCCACCAAAGCTTATGCCAATTGTTCCTCTTCGGGCAACCCAACAGAAGTATCTTTGTTCCTTTCAAACTCTTCTTTATCAGGCTGATAAGTCACTTCTACTTACCTTCTGAGTTGCCTTCCAGCCTCCCTGGCCAGTAGACAACCCTTAGTCTGGAGA